AAAAAAAAAAAAACGTACTGGAAATTACTTTAAGTTACCGAAGTGTGGTCATATTTAATTTGACAAAGAAGAAAAAATGGGAGAGATGTGTGGATTATTAAAACACTGAAAATAATTCTTTCTTGATCAACTTCCAGCAGAGCGAAACTCTGGAAGCATTCACTGAGAATCAAGCCTGAGTGTGAACCGTGCACACCTCGGTCTGTCAGAAGCGAGTTAGACGGCGGCGGTGTTTGTGTTTGCTCCTCCTCGGCTGCAGGGGGCGCTGTGACGGAGCTCTGCTGGAGCCACTGGCGTTTCTTGGAGACGGTGATGTGGTTAAACGGGGTCTGACGCTGACAGACAAACTCCATCGCTGCTGCAAACACAAACGAACAAAACCAACACTTCTGCTGATTCAGCTCATCTGACCGCTGCCACTAGCGCAAAACATGCAAGTGCATCCGCTCAGATCAAACACAAGTGCAAAATCAAACCGAAAAGAGTCATTTATTGTTTTTGGTTTCATAAAAATCTCAAAACCTTCAGCGTCAGACGGGACTGAGAGCATCTTTCATCATGAAACCGTTTACAGACTCTGCACTGCTTTCTAATATTCACAAGCAGTGCCGTTATCGGTAACTAAAACTAAGCTATTAAAAACATTGTTGTGCATTGGTATTAAGCTGAACTAAAATAAAATATAATATTAGACAAAAAAATTCATGAAACTGGAATACGTGTCCTAAAATTACTAACTGAAATTAAACTAAAACTAAAACTGAAATAAAAATAAATGTAAACTATTTAGAAATATAGAGCAACTAATAAATGCACTAGGGATGCACGATATATCGGCCACCATATCGGTATCGGCCCATATCGGCTCATTTTTTCTGTTATCGGTATCGGCCTGATAAGAAAATTTCTAAAAAAAAAAAAAAAAAAAAAAATATCAAAATATTAATAAAAACTATAAAAGTACATAAGGGAAAATTAGAAAAATTGCAGAAATAAGTGTAATCTGAAGTACTAAAATTACTAACTGAAATAAAAATAAAAAACTGTTTAGAAATTAGTGCGGTCAAACGATTAATCGCGATTAATCGCATCCAAAATAAAAGTTTTTGTTTACATTATATATGTGTGTGTGCTGCGTATATTTATTATGTATATATTTAAGAAAAATATGTTTATACATTTAAAATATTTATATATAATATCAATTAAATTAATATAAATATATACATGGAAATATTTTCGAAATATATACTGTTTGTTTGTGTGTGTATTTATATAAACATAATAAATATACACAGTACACAC